TTCTTTGCCAGGGTGGGATTTCTTCACTCCTTTTCTGGCCAGATCATGTTTTCACAACAGAGGAAGGGGAAAGCCAGAGCGAAGTGTCAACAGCCCGTGACAAGAGACTGAACCCAGTCATCCATAAACAAGGAGGAATTTGGAGTTCGGAGCTTGGGAAGCCCCGTTTCTGTCATCTGCTCTGGGCAGGAAGACTCAGCTGCACCGGCTCTTTCCTCTGGCTCGGTGAGCGTGACCTCTCCCGGGCTCCCGGCGCATGGCAGGGCCAGCTGAGCCCGCTGCTCTCGCCTCCGTCGGCCAAGCCTTCCTCTTCTAAAGAACAAATCCAGCTCCTCGCTTTGCCAGACCAGTCCGCTAGCTCCTCTCTGCCTCTGGTGCCAGCTGGGTTTGGAATAGGTTGTTACAAAGGGACGAAAAACTATTGTAAAGCGAAAGATTTCCTGAGCTTCCATCCCTGCTCTGTCCAGTTGTCCTGCGAAAGGCCCCAGCTGGGGCCACAGATGCTGGAGAGAGCAAAGAAATGGGGGAGGTTTTCCAGCAGCCAGAGCTACTCCGAGGCTGCCGGCGCGTGTGTGTGTGCCGGGGGGCCAGGGGATCCTCGCCTCAGACGCTCACCCCAAACATCAAGCTTCCTAATTTGGAGAGCCAGGTTGGGCGGCCAAAATCGTGGGGGACACACACAATCCCCTCCTAGACCTCCTTCCCCCTCACTGATCCCACAGGCAGCGAGGCCAGGTGCCGAAACCCTGGTGGGAGCGCTTTGGGGTGTGTGGGGCGAGGGTGGGGGCTGCTGCTGCCGCCGAGCTCCTCATATCTGGGCTTGGGCAGACATCTAGAGGCTTTGCCAGGAACGACACGGCGTTGGTTCCCCTCCGTCCGCGCGTGCAGGGCGGTTGGTGGATGACGCACGCAGTAGGTTGATGATATTGGTGTGTTCGGCCTGCCCTGTCCCGGGACAAAGTTGAAGGGGAGGCAAGCAAAGTTGCATCTAAATTTGGCTGTAATGAGCCAATTTCTCGTGTTCCGAGCGTGCTGCTTGCGTGTTTGTACAAGTGAGAACAAGCATTACTCTCTCCGTTGGGTATTGACAAGAAGGAATGGCCGCACAAGGCTGACAACCCTGGCATTTGCCGCTTCGTGAGGAAGAGGGGAGGTTGGACCTCCGGAGATCAGGCTGCTGTGCATCTGCTGCCCAAATACCACTGGCAGATTATTTCTTTCTTTTTTTTTTCCTGTGTTTTAAGGTTATTTTTCGTACTTGAGGAAGGGTTCCACACCAAGACGTGCCCGTTTCAGCCACCGTCCCTGTTCCTGTTCCTTCCTGGTGACGCTGCTCGAGGCGTTGGCCGTTGCGAACACGAGGAAGCCGAATCTGACCCTGACCTTTGTGGAGGAAGCTCACACCTTGGCCTTAGTGTCTTGCTAACAAATGCCGGAGTCTGGCAGGAAACGCGCTGAGGAAAGCCGCGCACTCGGGTGGTTTTTAACCCAGCGCTGCTGTTTTGGAGACCTGCTGCTGCTTCAGACAGCTCTGCTTTGCCGGGGAGAGCCTTGGCAGCTCAGCTCACGCCGCTGTGTGCCCACACTGCCGCAGCGGGAGCTGGCAAACCTGGCCACGGGGATGCAGCTGTGGCTACCGCACCTCGTGCCCCAATGCCTTGGCATTTCTCTTAGCTGCTAGAGATCGGAGTGAGACGGGGTGAAGCGGAGCAGGTTGTCCCAGACTTCTGACACCTTCCCGTGAGACCCGGTGCTGGCTGCCATTGACAACCGCCCACCAGGGCAGGCAAACCCCAGGTCTGATCCAGCCTGGGAATTCCCTTGCTCCAGCTGCCCAGGTTGGGCATCTGGATGCAGAGTGGCCCAAACTGGGCTCGCTTTTGGAAATGCTGCCTGGTGTTGCCGTGGTCTTTTTTAGCAGGTGACATATGCTAGGAAATTTAAGGGCTTGATCCAAAGCCTACTGACGTCAATGGAAATAGGTTTGTTGACATCAGAGGGCTTGGATCTGCGCCTACGTTCCATTTCTTTATTTCAGATGGCAATCTGTCAGGGGTGGAAAGGTCTCTTTTCTACTTACAGACTTCAGCACGCCTTTGAAAGGTCTTGCTTCCCTTGCAATCGTTCAGTGGAGGATGCAGAGTACAGAACGATCTGGAGAACAGGCGCAAACCCATTCAACGCTGCGGCCGTCCCTTCCGCGTTGCTGGGCCCCAGCCAGGCTGCAGCTCAGGTTCAGGCATCGTAAGAGCGGTGGTGGCCTTGTGACGTGCTGCGGCTCCCCACTGCCTGCTCCAATTGGAGCCAGAGCTTCAGGCCTTCGTGAGCTGCTCGGGGCGGTCCAGCTCACCTTATCTGGAGAGCATTGGTCAAAGTCCTCTCTACGAGGAGCATCTGGAAGATGCTCTCAGTCATATGGTTTAGTTTTAGGTTGTCCTGTGAGGAGCAGGGAGTTGGACTCCATGGTCCTTGCAGGTTCCTTCCAGCTTGAGATACTCAATGATTCTCATGGGCTTTGGGGTTTGTCGAGTGCATGATGTGAGGGGTCTTGAATCCAAAGTTCATGGGCAGACCCAGGAAACTGCTTTCCTTTTCAATGGGAACAAAGCCCTCGGAGCCCAGTTCGTTGCCTCCTTCCCAGCTGGGACGTTCGTGAGCGGGCTGGGAAGAGTGGGTTGGAATGACAGCCCTCCTGCAAAGGAGGCTGGGCACTCGCCGCACTCCTCGGGAGGGACAGAGATGGCATGATGCTGTGGGACACGTGGTGGGCCAGGCTCTGCTGCACTGCTTCTCTGCTGTGCCCCTCCACCGCCTTCACATTGCCGGTGGATCCTGGGGACTCTTCTGTCCCCACTTTACGACTGTGGAGGTACCAAGAGACTGGGTCTGGGGAGAGAATGTGGCCCCCCTCGCCTGCAAGGGTGGTCAGCCAGCGAGATCCCCATCTCTCCATTAAGAAACCCCCCCTTTCCCCATGGTGTTCTTGTTGATTGGCTCCGTTGGCCGAAATCTAAAGGATGATTATATTCTACATCATAAAACCTGTGCCTGCGGCGTGACCGTGACGCTGTTTCTGGCAGTTGCGTAGCTGTGTGCTGTTACCGAGCTGCTGTTTCACGCCCTGGAAGTGGCTGCCTTCTATTACTGGATCGAGCTGATCCTGCTTCCGTCAGGAGCTCCGGCAGTGCCAGCCCTGCGGCCTCTTCAGGGCTCCGGAGGATTTTGTCCCCGCGGGGAACGTTGCTCCCTCGGGGACCTGCAGCCTCCTGCAAAGCGGCGGAGCGTAGCGGCAAGGCTGGCTTCCTCCCCTCGTTCCGCGCGTGTATATATAGACCACAAAGTGCTCCAGAGTGAAAGGAGCAGTGGGTGGGAGGCGAGATATTATTATCTTCACCTGCTGCTGCCGACCAAAGAAATAAAGAGACAGATGACAGGAAATGAGGACTTCAAAAATAGACACCTTTAATGTCAGAACCTTCAGGGATTAGCGAGAGCACCATATAAGAAACAGAGAAACTCTCACGCTAGTCACCGTGTGCTTTGAGTGTGTGTCAGAGGAGGAAAAACACTGAGATGTCTAAGAAACATTTCTGCATTCACTCTTTGTGCCCTCAGCAGAAGAACCAGAGACAGGAAAAACTGACCACAGACACTGCAGACAAACGTGACGTGTCAAACCTCGCTCTGCAGCTCGGCAGATCCTCTGTGCCTGGGTGAGCTGCAGTTCTCCCTCCCCAGGCTGCACGCCCAAATCCTGCCCGGGTCTGCCAGCTCACTGCTCTGCCTCTGCCAGGCTTCGCAAAGCGCTGCTTACGGCTCCACGGGGCAGAAATGGCGAAGGTTTTAGTGTGAGCCCTCTTTATTGAAAAAAAAAAAAGTCTTTGCATATGGAAAATATTTCTTATCATATAGAACTCTATCTGCTTTACTTAAAACCTCTGGAATATATTAAACATCTCATTTGGCCTCACCTCTGTACTTCTGTACATCTGCTAGAGGTTCCCCTGCCCACCCAGACAGTCAGATGGCCGTTCACCAGCTCCGCGTCTTCGTTATTAGTTCAACCCTTAGTTATTAGGGCGACCCGCAGCCTGGGTTGGATTTGGAGGGGGTTGTGACAGTGACAGAGGAAGCTGGGCCCAAGGGAGAGGAATGCCAAGGGGTACTTTTCCTCGCTGAAACTCAATGCTGGTCTGAAGTCCAGAACTGGCTATATTGAGTCCCAGACAGGTGCCAAGACACCAAGGAGAAATAGCGACGGTCGCCTGAAATGCCAGCGGCCTGACGCCCTGCAGCTCCCGGCGCTGGAAGTTCGCGCGTTGCTAATCCAGAGAGGGGAGAACACGGTGCGAAATGGTTGATTTCCGCCTCGAAAATCCCAAACCTGGGTCACAACACTCTGACAGCCGACTTATTGCCTTGCTCCACTCCTGCATCGCTTTGGTAGCAGCTGGGCCAAGGGGGCTCAAATCCACCAAACAACATTTTTTGACTGCTGAAAACTGGGATCTGGGCTTGGAGCCCGCTATTCTTAATTTGTAAGGCTCCTGAGTAGAAGTCTGCTGCAGCAGCACAGGAGGAAAGGTGTAAAGCAAGTTTATGGAAAGGCTTTGAGGGGCAGAGGGGTTTTCTAAACATATCTGCACTCCGCGTGTTTCTTTTTCTTTGATACGGCTGCAACGTCCTCGTCTTTAGAAAAAAGCAATCCCGCAGAATCCAACAGAAAAAGATCATGATTTGCCTTCGGGAGAGGAATCGGGTTCAGTCGGCGCCGTACGTGGGAGAGCAGTGGGTGCAAACCAGCGCCTCGCCGGCGCTCGTCTCTCCCAGGGTCTGGGTCTCTGGTTCCTCACTGCCGCAGGGACACTTGATCCCCGCTCAGGCATCGCTCTTTCTCTGCAGGGCACGGCTCTCGAGTCAGCACCTCGCTCCGCTTACCGCTGTGGGCTGCCTGGATCTGTCCCCCGTGCTGCATGCAATGCCAGCGAGAGGTAAAAGTGCTACAAAACAGCCCAAAGACCAGAAGTGAGGAGGAGGAGGAGGACGAAGGAAGAAGAGAGGCGCGGGCAGCCTGCCCCAGCCTGGAAGATGTGCAGTTTCTCAGCGTTGGGAAGGAAGACCCTGGCATCCTCCAGAGCCCCGTGAGCCGCCATGGTGAAGTTGGCGTCCCCTGAGGTCACCACGTCGAAGACACACGACTGGAAGTAGACGTCCTCCACAGGCAGCATCTCCTTGCAGAGCGCCCGGGCCGTCTCGGCGGCCACGCGACCGGGGCAGCACTGGCTGCGGGAGAT